TCTTTCGTCTATCTAACACCCTTCGAGAAGTTTGATCACGTGCGGGGCCATCACATCCTATTTAACACGGATCACTTTTCAAATATTAACAGTAGACACGTATTAATGAGTAGTCGTTGATCATCCCCTTTTTCGGAAAGAGGTCAACGACTACTTTTGGTCGAATTAACTTCGATTCCCTTTCACCTATCGGACTAGCGGTATTGTCACATTCGAATACAAAAATTACATAATATAAGGCTACAAAATGTGATGTAAGTGGCTATCGAGGGTGCCGAGCCATCCGCTTTTTTGAAAAATTTGATTGGTTGGTAGATTACCGTTTGATATTCGGCTGTGAATGGCACAATTTCTTAGAGTTAATATTAAAGAAAAAAATATATCTTAAAAAGTTTCAAATATATGTTTTAATTGGTGTCTACTTGACCGATGAAATTGTATAGTAACATGGCATTAAAAAAATAATTTGTTTATTTGAAGTAATTTGAGAAAAAATAACTAATAAAATGCGTAACTAACCCGCAATAGAGTGCCTGCAATATTCCATGCTTAGTTCCAATTTTGTACAGGCCATCATTGTTTATTTCAAGAACAATGCCAATAACATTTCTTAAGTTGCCCCTTCCTCTGTTTACATCGGGAATAGACACAGTCACATTATCGCCCTCTTTTGCTGGCGGATGCCATTTGCCAGCAGCAGATTTCTTTTTTTTTCTTGCCTGTTTCTGAAGGTTTCGGCAGCTGTTTGTCTTGCCTTTTAGATTTCATGACCTGTTTTAGAAGTTCCGTATCATTACCATCACTAACATCTCCTGAATCATTGTGATAATTTGTCTGTCTATGCGTTAAATCAGTTTCAATAAGTTTTTGAAGGTCATCTTCATCTTGAATATTCTTTATTATTTCTGGTAGTAGTGATGTCGTTAAAAGACCAATCTGGTACATAGCTTTGTAAGGCGATTGTTTTATTCCCGAATGATAGGCCCTGTTTTTCATAAATTGTACTACATACCTCAAGCTTTCTGACCATTTTGTCAGGGCAGGATGTCTGAGCGGTCAAGATGGCAGCCCACCGCTCTGGGGGATCCGAGCTCGAATCCGAACGGGTCGAAATATCCCCAGAAATTTTTCAGGGGGTGGTCCATTCGGATATGTCGGGCCTCTTCCCTCACCACCCGGCAGCCCTATTGTGGGCCTGGCCAAACCATAATGGGCTTGCAAAAAAGAGGCCCTTTTAGTGCCCACGGGGCGGAATAATTAAAAAAAGACTATCTAGTCAATGACCGCTAGGGTAAAACCACTGAAAGTGGTAGTTAGTCGAAGGTTCACGCCTCACCATTGACTAGCCACGTTCACTTTTTCAGTGTTTTTTCACTTATATAATACCTAAACAGGACGTGTTCTCCATTGAAGGCCCTCTCCAAAAACATTCTTCTTGAAAGATCGCTCATACTTGCACAGCCTTATTCGATCAATTCAATTTTCCATCCCTATCAAGTAGGTTCGAGCAGATCTACAAAAGGAGTGATCAGATGGTGGGAGACCGAACCCAACGTCAGAGCCGTAACTAGCCATTCCTGTGCCCTGTGCAAGAATTTGCATTTAGGCCCCTTAATTTATTTGGTTTGGGGAAAATAATAAAACAAACACATTACAATAGAATTTTAATAAGATTTATTTTAATTGAATTTTTCTGGTTTTCATTTCAGCAAATTCATTAATTACATTATCATAATTAATATTTTAACGATATTGTTGTATTCTATTGAAATAATAAAAATATTGGATAATCGTTCTTGTCCGATAGTTGACGATAAGTAATTTTTTTATTAATTTTAACTTGCCAAAACTTCTCTCGCACGAAGCAATAGAAACAAGAATGGGTAGAAATACTGTATTTAAAGAGCGACATTAATATTTGGGTAAGACTCGATTAAACCAAAATCACGAAGAGCCTGTAGAATATTAAGCGGAGATGAAGTTTCTATATTTTGTATAAGAGTCGTTACTTCAAAATTAAAACTTTCAATTTCACTTGTGAATTCGTACTTTTTTAAATCTTTGCTATATTTAATAGCGAGATCTGCAGCCGATTTTTTTAAATCAGCAAACTCATGCTTTGTAAAGACCAGCCACAGCGAAAGCAAAAATCGTCACAGATACTTTTCATTTTTTCATAACGCCAATCTATTTGACACAATAGAGTGTCAAGAACACTGTAAATTTGTATTTTAAATAATTTTTCGGGTATTAAGTTACTTCCTTCATCTGGTGTTTTATCTATTTTCATTATCTTAACTCTTTTTTTCGTTTATTAAGAAATCCCTTTTCTATACTTTCTGGTTTGTTTTAAAAATATGATCAATAATAGCATCTGTTAATATTGTTAGCCATAAACCTATATCATTTATTACTTCCATGTATCTATATATATCGAAGCAGAGACCTCAGACAAATCAGTCAAAAGTAGCGACTTTTGATAGTTTTTAATTTATTTTTGAGAAATTTAAATTTATGTTTTTAAACTTTTTTTTGGACTATTTCTTAGTCCAAAAAAACTCGTTTCAATATATATAGATACATGGAAGTACTGCGAAAAAGGGGGATTGCGAAAACTGCGTTTTCGCAATCCCCCTTTTCAGTAGCATTTTATTGTAGTGATATGCACTTTCACATATGCATACCACTACAAAGCAAAACTTGATGTCAGAATTTCTGCACGCCTTTTACAACCTCGAGACTAAGATTTTATTCGGGAGTTACCGTTTTCAATTTAGTAATTTTAAAAAAAAATCCTCGGGCAGATTTATTTTTGTTACAAAATGTTACTTTTACAGATTTCTAGCTCTGCACACNATTCGGGAGTTACCGTTTTCAATTTAGTAATTTTAAAAAAAATCCTCGGGCAGATTTATTTTTGTTACAAAATGTTACTTTTACAGATTTCTAGCTCTGCACAATGTAGAAAAATCTAGAAATACAGTTTTGTATATCGTAATAATATTACCGGTAGTAGTTGCCAGAAAGCTCTATAAAGTAGAGAAAAATCTATAAATTTGAAAACTATAAACATAAATTTAAATTTCTCAAAAAATAAATTAAAAACTATCAAAAGTCGCAACTTTTGGCTTATTTGTCTGAGGTCTTCGCTACCTCACTACGTCCCTCTAAAAGTCGCCACGATTGGGAACACTGGTGAACAGACATCTAGGGTCTAAGTAAAGCGAAATGTAATCGCCAAAGCGCGCTATAGAAAGGCGGAAAAATTTAAAATTTAAAAATATAATTTCTTGTGAACAGCAGTTTGGGCCGCACAGGGCCCACTCTTCCAAGTGGGCCTGTGCGGATGCACTTATTGCACCTGCCTAGTTACGGCTCTGCCCAACGTATCCAAAACAAACTACACATTAAAACATTCTGACAAATTACTTGCTCGGATTCGATTTTGGGTCCCTATAGTAAAAGGCTGAAGACTACATTGTCTCGGCTGTTAATAAAAGATATTTTAAACATAAAAGTAACAAATTGATCAATGAGACATAATTATATAATTTATCAATTACGAAATTAAAATTTCATCATAATTTAGCATCAGTTGTTATGGATAAACATAAATAGCTTTTATTTACTATCCTAAATCTTTTAATGTTCAGATTCTGTGTAAAAATACAATAGACTACATATTCATTGCATTGGCCTTGGATTCTGTAAACAGTAATTACAGCGAAGGACATATCGAAATTCAGGATTGGAATCGTTTTATTGATCGTAACACGGGTATATTGCATTTTTATCTGTACGTAGTTGTTGTAATCTTTTATTTTACAGTCACACGTAACACCTTTATGTTGAATTTTAATAACCTAAAGAATGTTGAATTCAAATTTCTAATTACACTTCTATAAAATTACGTAAATATTACAAACTAATGGAAAATTTTTTGGCAAGGATTGAAACCGATGATGAGTATAGAAGAGAAAGAAAAAATATGAACACAGAAGCAGAGATATGTTTGAACTGCGTTTTATCTTCGTTTACGTCTATAGCAAGAGTTTACGGATATACTTTTTTCGTTCCTTGTTCCTGCGTCAACCGAAATAATGTTAATGTTCACCCAATTATAACAAAATTTCATTCATTGTTCATCGAATGTTTCTACTGGATACATTTCTGTTTATTATCTTCCATGACAATACCGGTTCTGTCGGAGATTCCTTGTCAATCATTGTACTTACTAATCAAAAATGATGTCATCTTTCTGAAAATGTTTATTGCTAATTTAGTTCTAAATTACGCTCTTACTTTCAGTATTATAAAAAGAGTAAAATTAACCCCAAATATTAAATTGAAAAAGCCAGAGTATTTCTGTCGAAAAGAACTGTACGGCGTGATTGCTTACACTAGAACTATCGCTTTTGTTCTTGTTGTATGTTTAACTATTTGTAGCCAAGCTTTCAACATTTTTTATATTTATCCTGCTATAGAAAAAGGAAAGACTTACAAGTACGAAGCATTTTTTTGCAGCGTAGAAATTGGCATTTCCTTTAATTTATTTATGGGTGGAATATTCTATCTAGTTTATTTTATTTTTTTGTATGTTATCATATTAACGAAGATTTTCCAGAAGCTATCGGAAGATCTGCAACTACTAAAGATGAATCATCCAAATTTGGAAACGGAATTAGAAATAATTATGACACAACACAATGAATTTTGGGATTGTTTTAATCAATGGAATGGCCCATTCAATTACGTGTTGACAATTCTGTATGGTTCTCTAATAGTGGGAACCAGTCTGCTTTATTATATTTTGATTTTTTCGAAAATGGAATTTGCATTGAGACTTTTCGCTGGAATGCTTTGTGCTGTAGTATCAATTATCTGTGTTTCAGTATGATTTTTACTATCCATTTTTACATCTATTGTAAGTTTCGTATTGTAATAAATACGCTATTCCATGTTTTACTCGCGTTTTAACATGTTTTTCTCCTTTCTTTCAGATGCAAACATCGTTTCAAGACATTCGAAGATTCGCTCAATGCGATCTGAAATTGGAACAGAAATTAAAAGTAAAGCTTCTGTTATAAAATAGGTTAGCTTTAGTTTTTAATTTACATAAAATCACTTTAGAATGATTTGTATAGATTGTGAATTTTATGAAAAGATTTGGAAAGGCATCTTTATGTTTATCTGTCAATGGCTTCTTTGATGTTACCAAGAAGTTTCCTATCAAGGTATGCGAGTCAATTAACTCTTTCAATATATTAATATATTACATATATATATAAATTTAAATTTGCAGATGTCTGGTGCTCTGTATTCTGTGTATTCGGGTCTCTTAAATTTCAGGACCGTTTCCAAGAAGAAAAACTGCTCTTACTGAAATTTGAATTGAAGGATCTATCCTTTTGAATATAGTTTCCTTTTATAATATTTTTATTAATTAATAAATATAAATAAATTCATTTATATATGATAAATTAGATAACCTATTATTGTTTATTTTCACATTATTGTCATATTATGATAATTTGCATTGTTAAAAATAGAATGAATTTTTCGAACAATATGTTATTTATATTTTTATAAATTACTTAAATAAATGTAAAAATAGTATCGATTTGAATATTTTAAATAAAATTTCAATAGTGTATATTAGAGTTCGTAAGCAATTTTATATTAAATTCTTTTAAATAATAGAAATTTACTTATTTTAATAACTATGTGATTGATAATAATAACCGAAAGATAATATTAAGCGGACGAAATAAGCGATCGAGGTGTCACCCATAAATTAGGTAATACTATTTTTATACTTTCGAACTAATAACTATGCATGCAGTGACATTTGATGAAGGTAAGGTATGTTTCCATACAATTATAAACAAATACAGGAAATGACAAAAACAAACAATTTACTTATTTTAATTATAAAATAAATACATTGACACGAAAGAAAGATATAAGAACTTTTATGAAAATAATCGCACGATATGTAATTATATTTTAGAAAATACAAGGGAATTAGCGCTTCCACATCTTTAATGGACTGCACGCTACTTCTAACAATGCCTGTAACGATTCCGACATTATCGGATATACGTTACCCATCCCAAACATACGTAACTCATATCGTCGATCAATCTCGTTAATCGTATGAAGGAATAAGACAAAGTACGTAATATAAAAAGTGTCAGTTTATTATTATATGTATAACGTAGAAAGCAGTGACAGACAGCTGTGCAACACTGCAGAAGTTACCCAAAGATTAAAAACCTAGTATTACGTAACACTATTTTAAACACCATTCTCTTGTGTTGTGTAGAAACGATTACTTTATATCCACTCGTCCATATTGTCATGGGTGATGTCTAACAATTGTAATATTTTCAAGGACATCACTTTCTTTGCTTTTCTTTTCTTAGCCACTGAAAACAAACAATACTTTATTTGAACTGGATGTTCAACAGATCCTGATAGGCATTACTAAGTGCGTATTGGTTGAAATAAAACACTCTTTGTTCTCGGTGGCTAAGAAAAGTAAAGCAGAGAAAATGATGTCCTTGAAAATATTACAATTGTTAGACATCACCCATGACAATATGGACGAGTGGATATAAAGTAATCGTTTTTACACATTGTTTTTACAATTGTTAAACATCGCCCATGACAAATGTGAACAAGTCATTTTTAAAACTGCTCTTTAATGTATATTTTTGTAATTTGTATAATGTTACAATTCATTTTTGTATTTTATATAAATTTATGGTTGTGATTTGTATAATATTAAGAATAATAACTGAAGGGCTACGTATTGAGTCCGAAATGCGTTTTAAGTGCTCAGTTTAATATTGTTATAGAGAGCTGTATATTAACGTAAAAAATAATCGTTAAAGATTTTGTAATCTAACACTGTTCACCAGTGTGATAAGTCCTCCTGTATATTCATAATAAAACATAAACTACATTGTTTTAAATGAATTTTGCCATTCTAAATAAGTGAATTTTTCATTTTGTCAGCATCACATTAATGTCTCTTGAAATGTCACATTAATGTCACTTAAAATTGCATTATAATGAAATAATTCTTTTGAAATTTGTTTTGCATTTTATTTGCATATATATTTCGTTTGCGCCATTTATGCTTCACACTTTCGATTTTCAACTTCAGCATAAAAAATTTGTAATTTTTATTATTAATGTAATGTAATAAAGTATGCAACTGTTGTACATAAAAATGTTGTACAGTTATTTATTAAATTGGTTTTTCACTTCTTACTTGTTTATTCTTTTGATCTCGGTGTATTTTATTACTATTTGCTCTTATTAATGAAATGAATGCTTTCAAAATTTAATAAATTTATTATATAAGCCTATAAAATAAGATTTAAACTTGCAGATATATTTTTATATTATTTTACTTTTAACGCCATGTGTTACAATCTTATCTAACAGTATACTAAATAAGTAAAGAAAGTTTTTTCCTTACTTAAAATTATTAATACTACACAATTAAAAGTTATTATGCTCTAAATCTTCTACCTTTTTCCATATCTGATGACAAAGAAGTGTATTAAATCCTACATTGAACTAAAAGTATCAGTATTTCTTCGAGTAAAATGTCTTTGGCTAACACACTGACAACATAATCAAAAAATTGAAGAAACTCATTGAACATTACAATTCAAAATTATTTCAAAACAACGAGTGTAAAATTCGTTGCATTAGATGAGCTCCTGAAGATTTTTGTGAGTCAACAAAACAAAGATATCCGCATTACCAATTACAATGTCAGATATGACACTATGGTTGTACAGTACTGTACGACTGGTTTATGACTTGTGACATTACATTGGGTGATCTCAACGCTAGTTAGGAGATTTCCAGTAAGATTTAAAAAAAAAAACGCGTTTAACACGTGCCACATTTCACGAAATGTATTATGGAACGATATTCAGAAACTTTAAATTAATACATTCAAAAGGCTGCAAATTTCAAAAATTTTACATTGATTATATATAAACTAAAAATTAAAAACATGCTTAATTAACATTATAAATAACGCTTATAATCACTAAATGAAACGTAAACGACACATATGGTCACTAAATGACATAATTGACACTTATAATCACTAAATTACTGTACATAAATTTGTGCTAACCGAGGGGGCTGAAGCGAAGAGCTTCTCCCCACTTACCGGCTTGGCTGTCAGGAAATGGCTATAGGAGGGCAAAAATATGAATGGGGAGGAGTAACGATCAGGTGTCCAATTGATTACACAGGATAAATAGACAACACATTTAATAAACAACTAAGAAAATTTACATAAAGATAATAAATATAACACTCGCGTATCAAGATATAAATAGGTATTCTAAGATCTATCCTAACCTAACCTAATGCTAAAGTTCGAGAGAGACCTCACGTTGGAGAGATATAATTATGGCAAGGATTTACCTCGAAGGCAACGTTCTCATATTATAGAACGTTGATAAAAAAAACTCTGTGATCGTCGTCTTCTACTCTGAGGTGTCCTTTGAAGGCTATGTGGAGCGATGTCCTTCTCAGGTCGTGCTGCTCTGTCCAGATGCAGTGTATGCTCCGTCGCTCCTACTCTGTAGAGAGTTCTTCCTGGTGAAGTTCTCTCAAAGGTTTCTTCTGTTAACCTCTTCGAGGAGTATTTCTGTCGTATATGAAGAGAATAGAAAAATATTCAAAGTTGTTACCTTGTTATGGAGAGGCGATTATGAGCTTCGTAGATCCTGAAAGTGCTGGAAGATCGTGCGTCGATGTTTCTTCCCCGACAATCGCTCTCGAAATGTCAGATCGTTTCCCTTTTATACCCTTTAGCGTGGGAAAAACATGGGAATCTGTTGACGCCTTTTGACATCTCTCCCTGATTTTTAACCGTTTCTCGCAACTTATCTCCTTATATGGTCATTCCTTTCGTCCGGTCGCTCGGACGTATAGGGGTCACGTGACATCGTGGTCCCTCGTCGATGACCTTCATACAATGAAAGTCATCCTCGCTAACTACGCAGTTAGTGTGAAAATAAAAACAGCGTCCGCATTCTCACAAATGACACTTATGGTCACTAAATGACACATATGATTACTGAATGACAAATGACACCTATAATAACTAATTAATATAAATGAAACATATGACAACTAAATAACATAAATTAAAAGTATAACCACAAAATGACAAAAATGACATGTATAATAATTAGAAGACATAAATGACACTTATGGTAACGAAATAAGACAAATAACGCTTATAGTCACTAAATAACATAAATGACGCATATAGTCACTAAATAACATAAATAACACTTATGGCCACTAAATGACACTTATAATGACAAAATAACATAAATAACACTTATTGCCACTTAATAACATAAATGACACATATGATCAAGTTAATAACGAAAATAACACTGATGCTCACTAAATAACATAAATGACACATATGGTCACTATATGACATAAATAACGCTTATGGTCACTAAATAATATAAATGACACATATAATTACTATATACCATACATGACACTTATAACCACTATATGACATAAATGACACTTAAATTAACTAGATTACATAAATGACACATATAATCACTAAATGACATAAATAACACTTATGGACACTAAATGACATTAATGACACATATGATCACTAAATGACATTAATCACACTTAGGGGAAATCGGGGCAACTTCGGCATGCGGGGCAAGTTTGTCAAGCGCGTTTTTAAAAAACAAATTAAAAAAAAAACTTTGATTATAGGCTAGGCAGTTGAGTTTCATTGGTGGCTTGTTGAGAGTAGTGTTTTTATTGTTCTCCAACAAGCATAGTTGAATTATCAAGCAAATTTTCATTTTCGTTGAATTCCATATAATATTTTTTTTCCATTTATATTGAATTGGCAGGTTTTGTTATAATTCCATGATAACGAAAGTTACTTTTCATTCACGTGGCCAGATCGTGGCTTGGCATTCTGTTCTCAGGGTTGTACTTAATGTTTCGAAATCATGACTAGCGGGGTAAGATCGGCAACATAAAGCCACATTAGAAGCAAAGGATAAAAATCAAACAGATGATAAATGAAAACATGTTTGCATTTGTTATTCATGTATATATGTCTTTGAACTTGCATTTCGTTGTAATAATATTAAATGGGTGTTGGATTTGTATTTCTTTGTTTTAATAGTGAATTCCAACTTATACATTGTTAATAACATAATTTTATATACGTGCCTATCTTGCCCCATTACTGTTGCCCCTATACCAGGGGCAACTTTAATAAAAATAATTAAAATAATTACAACTTTACAAAAAGAGAGAAGTTGCCGATCTTGCCCCTATACCCGGGGCAACTTCGTCAATTTCTCTCTTCTTGTAAAGTTGTAATTATTTTAATTATTTTTATGTCCAAACTGATTTTAACCAGTTCTATAGTAAGGTAACATTCC